GGAAGAAAACGGTGGGCCCTAGTGGTCTTTGTCAAAGACAAATATTTGTCTAACTTAAGTTGCAGGGACTTACATATTTTTATCAGTGTTGTTACTTTTTCTGAGTAACATAAAGCACATCTGACTACTTAATAAATGCAGCTATTTAGGTGGCAACGTATACACAGATTTTATGTTAGAGAACTATGTGTTTGTAAGGAAAGTACTTGCTTTATGCAAATGAAATATATTACTGGAGAAAAAATTAATATAATCTCTCAGTAGAAAGTAGTTATTTCTGGTTCAGAAATGTTTCAGGAGATAATAGAAATTATATGCTACTATTATTCCTCTCATCCAAGACTAGGATCAGTACTATTTACCTGTATTTTGAGAACATATGTTGTATTTCCATGTTGCATACTTTTATTTCATGGTATTAGTGTAATAGGCAAATATTTACATAAAAGGTAGACAGGCACCTAGTGTGAAACAACATTGGTATTTGTTGTATTAGTATTTGTTAGTATAAGCACCATTATCGGTGGTTATAAACTTCCATCATCATTCAGAAATACTTCATTCACTCATTTATATTTGTATCTTGTATGGATTTAAGAAAATCAATTATTACCAGCATTGGCCACAAGATGGCCACATTTGCATAGGATTTGAAAAAGCTGAACCTTCCCATTTCTGTCCTGATGGCTATATACCATAAATATATTTTAAGTATTTATAATAGAATACAAAGAAGACTGTCAAGTTATAACATAAGATTTAGTAATGATGTTGCTTTTAAGGTATAACTGGTTTTCTTTTGAGTATTTATGTTCCTTTACAATGGAAACATTAATTCCAGAAGGAGCACTGAAAGGATTTAATTTCTGAGCTCAGAGAGTTGCTTTCTGAGTACTGACAGATTAATGGTAGGTGGTTAAAACTTAAGTTGCTGGTGATTCTTAGTCCTGTTTTAAGGTTAGTCGTATGCTTCCCAATTTCTGCCTCATTACTTTAGTATAACTAACTGTGCTGTTTTTAAAGGGATGATCAGGTTTGCTGTTCCAGTTACAGCTGATCTGCATTTAAAAAATACCCATCCAGTCTTGCTTGAGTGGCTCGTCATTATCTTCCAGTGAGTGATTGCTACATCAGATCTCTTGATGTAACTGTGTTTGGAATTGCTCGTGTCAAAAATTGTCCTACATATTTTTAAGTTATTTGTTGTGGGTTTTTTGGTTTTTTTTTTTTCCAATTGAGATGATACTGGAATATTCCAATTTATATTGACTATGCATGTGGTCACTCAGATTGAACTGAGTTGTAGTATTTTAGCAATAGCTGTTTGGCAGCCTTGGGTAAGCTGTGGTCCTTGAGGTCTTTGCCTTGATCGCCGTTTTGGCTGTGTTCTTACCTTCTTATACCTATTTCAGGAGCTCTTAAAAAGACACAGTAACTTCCATATTTTTGAGAAGAAGAATATAATGTTAGATACAATAACCTAAGTATTTATGAGAGGCTGACACATTTTAGGTTTCAGACCAGATTGAGCGTGTCAGAGCAATGCCCCAACGAAGACAGTGCAACAGCAATCCTGAGAAGAGTATAGTCTAGTTGCTATATTGCAATTCTGGATGGAAATTGTTGGCCAGCTGTTGGGTATTTTTTGGAGAGATTGATTTCTTAGAACGTTATTTTCTACGTTGATTGCATTGACAAGTATGCTTCCAGATATTTTGTCCCTGTGGCTTGATCTGGAGCATCCCCTTTCATGCTGGGGATGGCAGTAGTGGTTTAATCCCTGTTCGTGAGCACTAACACTGGTGTCTTAGTTCAAGTTTCAGTAAACTCCAAATAAACAACTTCCTCAGCTTTGGAGAAATGCTCCATTCCAAATAATGTATTTTGCATGCTGCGATTTGTAGCCAAAAACAATGCTGGTGCCTATAAATTTTAAATTTAATTCAAATTTTAAATTTAATTCAAGAATAGGAAAAATATGTAGAAATTTGAGTTTATATTACTGGTTGTCGCCTCACTGTCACAAAAACATTTAAGAAGTGAACTCTGCAGGGTATTACTTTTGCTCCTTTTCCTGACTATTTTCCTCCTCTTAGTGCAATTTCATGCTTTGTAGATATTCCAGAGTATTTTTCTTTCTCGTTTGTTCTCATCCTAAATCAAGTTCCTGTTTCCTTATCCTGTAATTTGTCTAGTTTCACTGCTTCTATGCTTTCATTTATTCATTTATTTTTTCTGTATATATATTTATCTCCTGGTTATCTACTCTCATTTTACGCTATTTGGGACTACTTATTCTGTCTCTCAAAGGGAAGAAGCAGATGAAATGTGCACTTTTTCATCTTTCCTGCTGTCTCTTAGGTTCTGGAGAACAGTTGAGCAGCAACAGATTATTCATTTTTATTTCTCAGAGGGATCAGAACGACTGTGTACTCAGCTATAACTGAATTGTGATGAATTGGTTTGGTTGGTTGGTTTTGGTTAATTTTTTTGGTGGTGAGTTTTTGTTGGTTTTTATTTCCTAGCATAAACAGTGGTGCGTACAGAAGGATATGTTGCATATTTTGGGTAACCAACCTTGAGGTTGTTATGTGCTGATTGTACCTCTCCATGAAGAAGCTGTGTTTCTGGTTAGTGTTTGCAAAGTGATTGCACTTGAAATGCTCTCTTCATACAACCAGTCAGTCTTCAAAGCCCTTTTTTTTTTTTTCTTTAGAGCACTTTGTCAAAGAGACCCTGCAGTATGATATGTGAAATCTTACCTGCACTCCATAGTATGTTGGAAGTGACAATATTTGTGATTGTGCTTATTTGTCCCCTCAATTCTTCACATTCACTTCTTTTCTATTAGAGGTAGCTCAGAGATGTGTGAAGCATCACAACTGTTTCTTGGAGAAAAGTATTTTCATCGTGCTTTAGGACATGCAGTAGATGAGTGATAAAAATTGAACATGACTGCTTGATCGAATTACACGTTCCTTTGCCTTAGGGCATCTGTTAGTATGTCTAGATACTACAGTGTGTTTGCTTAATGGTGTTAATGGTTTTGTCTTTTGTGTTTTGCATAAATAGCTGGAAGGGCCGTGCGTTCTACAAATACAGAAAATACGCAATGTTGCTGCACCGAAGGATAACGAAGAATCTCAGGCTGCTCCCAGAATGTTACGTTTACAGATGACTGATGGACACACAAGCTGCACAGCTGTAGAATACAGTAGCATGTCAAAAATAAGGTGAACAACTTTAAAAAGAAATTTTTACTTTGATACTCAAATGTCCTTAAAATAATGGAAGTGTCCTTAGTAATATATGGAAGAGTTGCTTGATGAAACAGGCTTCTTCCGTGAATTTTGTACGTAAATGAGAATGTTAAATTAAGCCTTCAAAGGTGTATATTAATGTAATTTAAAATACCATTTATACTGAAGAATGTAATAGAATTAAGAGAGTTTTTGCAGCCACCTGTTGAGTTAAAGTTGACAGAGCATGCATCGTTTTGCATGTGTGCAAACTTGAGCTAAATTCACAGAATGTCCAGGTTTTAATAGTAGCAGATCTTTTGCCTGATTTGGTAGCAGGAACGTCACAGGTCTGACATGCCTAACTTAATGCACAAGTGCTCTTTTACCATGGTCAAGGTTTAGATTAAATTAATAAATATTATTTGTGGTAAGAAAGCTAATTAGCCTGAACGTGGGGATTTTTGTGTTCTTGGTTATGAAGATGCTGAAAATTGTCTTCAGTGTTTAGTCTCTGGAGTCATGGTGTCCTTTGCTCTTCACATTAGTTGAGATCACTTTTGATTTTAAAAAAAAATAAATCTCTGCTAGCTGCAAGTTAGATAGATGCTTCATTTTTAAGTGTAATCTTTTACTCTTAAGTTGGACCCAGCTAGTGTAATTTAAAGAAGTTATGTCTTTCATCTGATTGTGTCCTGTTTCTCACAAGAAAATTCAGTTTCCACATTGTGCTGCTTGTCATAACTTTCAGTTATGGATTGGAGATCTGTGGGTTTTGGTTGTTGGTGTGTTTTGTTTTGTTTTGTTTTAAATGCATCTGCTGTTGTTTTTCATAGCATAGGTTCACATGAAAAACAGGTATGGTACCTTCTTGTGGGAGGTGACCTCAAAGAGTATCTGTATGTTTCAAATTATAAAGAGAGAAGCAGCACTGCAAGATGCACATTTCTTGTATTTATTCTGGTACAGCCCTGGCTGCTAGTAATGTACAGAAAACTTCTTTTCTAATAGCTCTTTGTTTTCTTCTAAGTTGAAACTAGATGTCTAAAACAAATGACACGATTAATCATCTGGAGATCCTCTATTTATTAACTATAAATACATTCTAGGATGAGGGACTTACTCTTAGACAACTGACTTGGAAATATCTTCTGTTAATCTAAACGAAACACGTCCTTAGCTTGGTGTTGTTAAATTGGATTTTAGCAAAACAGACAATTTGCAAACATTCCTCTCCCTTAGAATCTAATCTGCAATATGGCATTTTTGTGTAATGAATGGGAAGTATTCCAATAAAGCTACTGAGAAGTACTGTGCATACTGAAGGAATTGTTGCAAAGGTTTTTGCTGGTGGTTTTTTATCATGAAATTAGAAGTATAATAAGAGTAGATGTTCAAGTATAGTAGGAGTAGAAGTTAGACGTATAGTAAGAGTAGAGCTTTATATGGTTTTGGTGGCAGAATATTAATAAGTGTATTGGAAATATTTGGCTTTGTTTCTACTTCTAGCCTGAACACCCCACCTGGAACAAAAATTAAGCTTTCAGGAATCGTTGAAGTGAGAAATGGCTTCTTGCTGTTGGATGACAGTAACACAGCAGTTCTTGGAGGTGAAGTGGAGCATCTTATAGAAAAGTGGGAATTACAAAGGGTGAGGTAACACCACTGGAAATGCTTGTCTTACAGGATGCATATTACATTTAGTGACATCACACTTAATGTCTTGACCGTGAACTTTCATACAATAAGCTTTTAGAGGTTTACTTTCCCAATATTTTTAGGGATGCCGCCAAATATAAAGAAATAAGTCGTATGCATAATGTTGCAAATAAAGAAATGGTAAGTGATTTTTGAATGGGAACCAATACCTTTTGTAGTCTTCAGGGACTGAAAATATGAATCAAACATATTCAATTTTAGTGCATTCATGGGTGGTTGCTTTCCTAACAGTGTTGTTTGGTACCGAAATATTATAGAAGGGAGCCTTTTACCATTACCATTAGAATGATGCCTTACCGATGGCCAGTGTACAGCAGACTGTGTATTTTTGAGACAAAAAAATAAATGTATGGAAAGCATTGAAGTTGGTAACCTTAAGTGTGAATTCTGTATTGCAGATTTCGCCAGTGCTTTAGACAAATTTGTGATTAGAAAGACAAGTTAGATGTTTTAAAATCTTTCAACAAGCCATAAATACTTGTAAACCCCTGTACCCCAGTTCCTGTCCTGCTACTAGTACCACACACATCTCAATATTTTCACTTCCATGTCTCTGAAACAGAGTAGCTACTTATGAACATGTCATTTCTATGTAAAAATATTTCTTTTATTGTTGATAATGCTAAGTTTGGCACCATTGTTTTTAGTACAGCTAGCCTTCGTTGGTGTTTATAGTTTAGAACAAATTGGGCCAAAATTTATTTGAATATGTGAATTACTCAGTGTCCATTGTAGAAGATTTTTTGGCAAACTTTTTGTGTTTTTATAGTTGAAAATGTTTTTCCTAAAATGTTCCTGGTTTTCAATGAAGCTGCCTGTTTGATTAAAAAGAAGGTTTTGGGGCCGACCACAGAAACATCGCATTTCATTGTTCTTAGTCATACTTAGTATACTCTTGTGAGTTCTCTCTCCAGCTAAAATAATTTAAGATTGGTGGGGATGGAAGAAAGTTATATAGAACTAATGCTTTCTCAAGAATGCTCTCTAATTCATAAGAGAAGGGCCAACAGAATTGGTTAGCTTTCTTGGTGATATTTTGGACAGTCTCTTTTTGCGTTTCTTCTATCTGGGCTTCAACAGCTAAATGCTACTTTATAAATACTAATTTGGTTTTGAAGTCGATATCAGGAAATAATTCTTTTTAGAAGAAAGCAAACCATTTAATAACTATTGGTGTGCTGCTGACTACTTGTTGTTAGCCAGTTCTGTTAACTTTAGGCAATCTGTTTAAAAGAGAGGTAACAAGGTTTTCACTGATTTACTCCGGTAGGATAAAGCATAGGAAGTTAACTGTTGCCTATTGCTGTCTTCTCAGTTCTCTCGTTGTATCTTGCAGTTTGCCAGAGTATCATTTTCTTTTTTTCATTGACTCGCTCAAAACATGTGATTGGGTTCCCAGCAGGAGTGTGCCTGTGTCAGAAAAGCTGCAGGTGACAAGAAATCATTTGGACAGGTGAACCATGACCACTGGAAATTGTAGTTCTGGTTCTGTATCTGGACTGACAGCTAGACAGATAGGGCTCAAACAAGTCAGTAGAAGCCAGATGCTATTTTGATAGCAGTTTCCTCATGAACTCAATGTTTCTGGCCTGTTCCTAAAGCTTTACCAAAGAGAGCAGTTGACAAATAAGCGAGATTATCAACTCTCAAAGATACTTGAAGGAGGACGTTGCCATTCCTTGTCTAATCTTGCCACTGAAGCTTAAATGAAATGCTTGAACTCTGTTTGCGTAAAAAGATGTAAAACTTGTTTTGTGTGACTTTTTCAAATAACTTGTTTTGAAGCCAGGTGTGATTTTTCTCTCCATTGCGATGTCTGAGAAATGTTAATTGGGCTTCTCTTATAGACGATGAAATAAGTTTCTTTCATACTTACTTTAATAAGTCAGTGCTAGTAAGTCAAATAATATTATAACTTTAGAAGGAATGGTTTTTGATCAGTCTTAAATTAGTCAAGTTTTAGTAAAGAGAGACTTGCACTACATGTATAGTGTATATAGAATGAATGCAGTATTATCACACTACATGTGCAATAAATGTGATGTTCCTTGTAGCATTTACTTTTCAGTAATTCTTGCCTAGAAATTTATTTTTAAGCATCACTGTTTAAGTGACAGTAAAGAAATAAGTAAGGAGTAAATAAGAATGGTAGTCTGTGATGTTTTTCTAGACTATTTGGAATTAAAAGGTAATATGTCACAGAATTCTTCAGGGGAGAATACAGCTACAAGTAAGTATTGCTTCATGGTTTTCTTAGTGTTCTGGTGGTGTCTGGTGTTTCCATCAGTGAGGACCAGTATCTGTGAGGTATTGGTGGTACTCCTCTTACAAAGGAAGAGTACTTTGCATTGCTGGTACGCAAAATATCAGACGATATTTAAGTGAAGACTGAAGCAAATTTTGCTGCAAAGACTGGTGAGACTGTTTGGTAGGCCCTTATATTTTTAAAACACAGGATCTGTCAAATCGCGAGTTTTCTGAAACTGAAACTGTTTAGTTATACTTATTGATTCTTCTCTTTTGGTGAATGTGGGGCTAAATGTTGAGGTTACCTGGTGGGAAAAGGGAGTAGTCTTCTGTATACTTAAAAATTGATATTAGGAAGAAGTGTGAGGGTATAATAGTATATAATACCAAGGAGTTCAGTCTCATATTTTAAACCTTTGTTTATTAAGACATTCCCTAAGAAATATTTTTTAATGTCACAATCCAAGTACAGCAGAAAAGGCAAAAGAAGCATACAAAATGTATTTGAAACAAAGTTTTTTTGTAAATGATAGTTACTGCTGTTGCTACAAGAAAATTTAATTGTGAGTTTAAAAATATTGCTGCCAGTTTGTTTTTTATTCAGTGCAAAGTGAAATTTAATTTGCAAAGCAGTTCTCGCTTCTCGGCAAACAGTGCTACCTGAGAAGAAGATGTCAAGGCTGTTACTTACCATCAGGCAGAGTTCTTTCATTCTGGAGAACAATTCTGTGTAGTAATGGTTATGATTCAAAATCTATGTCGCTAAATGTTAATAAATATGCAGTCAACTTTTAAGTGTTTGTTTTTTCACTGTTGGCCAAATTGCATATTTGAGCAGTAGTTTGGAACAGTCTTTTTCTTGTATGCGTTTCCTTGATTCTGATTTGAGAAATAAGTAAAAAAAAGTGTGACCTTAAACTTAAGCGTGTGCTTGCTGATTATAGGACATGAGGAATGATCTCTGATCAAATGCTCGAGTTCTTAGCTCTCTTGCATAAGTATTTTTATTATAATTTGACTCAGTGATGGAATTCATGCCAGTATTGCCTGCATTTCTCTAGACACAACCAAATAACAGAGAAAGAAGTGTAGGGTTTATGGGTCCTAGAGTGCCTGCGCTGGGAAACGAAGAGGCTTGGGCATGAAATCGCTGTTGCTCTGTGCTCCGTTAGTAGTTATGGGAAGGTACGAGCGTGCTACAGTGATGAGCCCTTGTTTACCTCGTGATTCTAAGGCAACACTTTAAATGAAGTGATTGAAACTAAAGCAGAAATTTGTTTTCTGTGCCTCTAAGTGTTTTGAATGATTTATTGAATACTTCATCAGAGCACTTTTTTCCAAGGCATGAGGAAAAGGATTTTTGTTTTTTTTTCCACCCTTGAAAAGAATTAATAACTGTAAGTGATGTACCAGATGATCTTTGGTTCTCCAATAAAAGTAGTTTAAAAGAGCAGACAAAAGTTTTTATTTGGTTGTTAGTTATGATTAGGGCATTGGTAAGCAAAATTTAATTTTTTATTTTAAGAAATTCTATGATAGCATAATGGCTTAAAGCATATTCATGTTTATACTACAGTTCTCACATGATGAAATTAAATCAATTTTGCACCAGTGTAATAAGTATATAGGTAATATCACATATAGCCTTATGTAATTAAAACTTTCTCTGCCGATGGGAACTTGTAAATTATGTATATAATCACACATGACCCTCCTGGAGGGAAAAAAGGGACAATAAGAAATGAAGGTGATAAAACAAGTGCAGTATAGGAAATGCAATTTTGAAACATTCTAAACAGCATTAAGGACCTGTAGTTCCTTTTTCCAGTTATGAAACCAAATATTTCGGTGTAATATGAAATAACTAGCGCATAATCAAATGCCGATTGTAGTGACTTTCATTCTCTTGCAGGCTGCTGTTGTCACAGTTTGTAAAGAGAAGTGTATCAACAATGAGCAGATATTTTAATGCAGTGTTTTACAAACTCATCTTTTTGCTGTTGTGGGCTGGTGATTTTTATTATTTGAGAACGCTTTCTTTTCAGGCCTGGGTCACTCATTGCCTGATTATGACTAAGATTTTGCAGGACTTCCATAGATACTATGTTATGGGAAATTGCTGTGCTTATTGATATGGCCTTTGTGATCCAAAGGTCAGCTGATTAATTTAGCATATGTACCACACTTATCCTAAGGCCACAGGGGAAATTTCCTAGTGGCACACTATTTTGTTTCTAACAGTGTCAAAAGGAGAATGGGTTTTAGGGAGAGCATGCAGGCTGAGCTCTTATACAGCCTTGGTATCAAGAAGTCTTTAATTGTGTTTTACCAGGGGATACAATACTGACTAATCCTTTCAGTTTTTCCGTATGCGTGGATTCATGAATTTCACAGAATGGTTGAGGTTGGAAGGGATCTCTAGAGGTCATCTGGTCCCAAGCCCATTGCTCAAACAAGACCTAGAGTGGGATGCCCAGGAGCATGTCCAGGCAGCTTTTGCGTATCTTCAAGGATGGAGACTCCACAACCTCCCTGGGCAACCTGAGACAGTGCTTGGTCACCCTCACAGTAAAAAACAGTGTGTCGTGATGTTCAGAAAGAACCTTTTGTTTGTGCCCATTGCCTCTTGTCACTGGGCGCAACTGAAGAGGAGAGCCTGGCTACCTCCTCTTTACCATCACCCTTTGGGTGTTTGTGTAGATTGCTAAGATCCTCCCCCTGAACCTCTAGGCTGAATTGGTCTGATCCCTCTTTAAATAGGTTGAATCCGTATGCCTTTACAACCTCTACGTAAAGAACCATCTGCTGCCTATTTGTGTGCCGCTTTGTTCTGTTAGTGTAGATTTTGGTATATAACTATTTTTTTTTTTTTTTGCATTTACTCTACGTGTTGCTTTTACGATTCTGTAAATTTTTCTTCATCTCCCTGCCCCTCATCCAATCTGCTCCTTAAGTGCTCCAGGATTTTAAGTATATCATTATTTTTTATAGTCAAAATGTTTGTCTTGTAAGATTCATATGCTTTTTGAAGTAGAGATACTTGTCATATAATCTGTTTTTTTGTTTGCAGTTTACTTATCAATGATTTTCTTTTACAGAGTTTAGCAAAACACAATAGGAGTAACATTGGAACAGAAGGTGGCCCACCCCCTTTTGTACCTTTTGGGCAGGTATAGTGTACTTTGTCATTTTCTATCGTGATATCAAGGGGACCCAATTCCAGTTAGATAAAGGCTATCAGATCTTTTAGATCATAATGATGTGAATCTAAAAAATCTGCCTGTTTAAACAAATTTATGTTGATCCTGTCCCTTTGTTGTACCCAATTATATTTAACATTTTTCCTCTCAATTTCAAACTGAAAATTTTATTTACTACTCAGAGCTTTTGATTGTCCTGTTCACACCTTGTAGGCTCTAACATAGTCCCTTCTTAGACACCAAATGTATTTACAAGAATCATATTAGCTACATTGTGAATTAAACTGTCAAAGTAATTGTTGGGGGCCTTCCTAATGGAACAGAGAAGTGTGCTTTCAGCAAAGACGTTTGGATGTTCTACATGTGCATTTTTGTGTACGTGTTCTTTATCTAGCATTGTGCTACTGCAGTGGAATAATTTTTTTTTTTTTCAAATGAAAGTAGGCAGAATAGTTAATTAAAACTTTCTTTTCCGTTTTCAGAAATGTGCGTCTCACGTGCAGGTGGACAGCAGAGAACTTGATCGCAGAAAGACTTTGCAGATGACAAATACTGTAAAACCTGTTGTGGAAAATGATGAATTTGAAAAGCAGAGAACAGCTGCTATTGCAGAAGTAGCAAAGAGCAAGGAGGTTAGAATGTACTGTTGTAGTATTTACTTACTGTGATTCATCTTTCCTGTTATTTTAAATATTTCTCTCTTAAATGACAAATGCTTTCGGGTTGGACTCAATGATCCCAAGGGTCTTTTCCAACCTGAATTGTTCTATGATTCTATGATATTTGCCTGCTTAATTGAAGATACTCAAGTATCTTTAAGAAGGTGAATCAAAAACAGAGAGTCCTTTTGGATTGATGGGTATGTTCTTATTTTAATGAATCTAATGAATGTATCATAAATGTTTTATTGTAGATATGATTTTGATTTGATACCATTATTAAAAAAATGTAATTTTTTGCAATTTCTATAATGAGATTTTCATCTGCTTTTTTCAATTCTCAAAGCCTCATGGTCCTCTGCATTTAGAAGGAATAGCTAGGAAGTTTAGTTCTAATGTGTCAGGTTTTTATGTCCTCCCTTATTTTTCCTTTTAGTTTATTTTACAAATTTACTTGTTGAGTCATAAAAACTAGAATTATATACCATTTTAACAACCTCATTGGGGCATAGGGAAAACAACACCTAATACATTAATGTTTGTGTATGTAAATTAATGCTTTTATTTGTTGATGCAAAGCATAATCATAAAAAATAGAGCTGTGTCAGATGGAATGCACTTTTTCTATTAACTAAATATTAAAACTTATTTTTATAAGTCCTGTTTACTGAATTATTATTTTTGTGCTTATCTAAAGACCAAAACATTTGGAGGAGGTGGTGGTAGTAGCAGAAGTAATCTCAGTGTGAGTGCTGGAGGGAATCGAAACAGGGAACTGTTCCAGAAAGAGAAGATAACGAAACCTGAGGGAAAGAATGAAGGTGTCTACCGAGAACTGGTAAGGTGGAAAAGTTAAGTGGAATCTTGAACGCGTACTATTTAAAAAACCCACAAAAATTCCTAAATGTGACAAAAATAAAATCAAAGACCCTGAGGAATGAGAGTTCTTCTTTTGATTTATTTTGTAGTCTGTTTAGAATTCTTAGGGTGCTTTTGTACCTTCCTGAGACAGTTACGTTAGAGTTTCAATGTGATTTTTGTAAAAAAAGAAAAATTTCATGTTGCCCTATCCAGTAAAATTTAAACCCACACAAACGACAAACAGCAGTGTATATGGTGTAGGATACTACAGTATAGTCTTATTTTCTTGTTTGAACAGTTTTGTGTGTTAACACATTAATTCATTTTAGGCATCTTTCAATTTCAACACATCGAAAATACTTTAGTGGAGCTTTTCTTCTGAATTAATATAATATTTATTTTAAGAATGTCAAGCTATTTCTTTGACATGACAAAACTGAGTGGTACTCTGATATTTGAAATAGCAAAGTAGAAATATTTTATTGTGGCATGGTCACATGTAATGCTTACATGGTCACACGTAGTGTTTCCTTTTTAGTAAGGTGGATTGGCATTGAAGAATTTAAACTGTGCCCCTTAATCCAAAATATCACCTTCCAATGAATTTGATAACTTCATACTTGCTGAGAAGTGTTCTTTGGGATCACTGCACTGAATTATGTGGCTATAACATGAGCAGTCATCGAAAGTTTCTGGTTTTATTACTTCAACGATCTAAGTTTATGATGGAGGAAGTATTTGTTATCAAGAACTCTGGAGAGGAATTTCCAAGTATGCAATAACCATTAATGATTCTGACTGAGTGATGAAAGCAGACTGAAAGGACATTGCAGCAACATAGTAACTAAGTAAACCAATATTAAAATGCTGATTATGAATAGCACTTATTTATTGTTAAATATCTTCCACCTTCTTTACTTTTACCAAGGCTTTAACTATGAAAAGACAAGACATTCAGGAACACTAACTGCCTGTTAAAATTTTGTTTGTGTAGTGTGTGTTGTCATCTTGCAGCAAGGAGAGCCTCCAGCGGTGCTGTCTTCAGCATTATGCTCAGAAATGTCAGTATAGAATTGGAGAAGCACAGGCTGAAAGGACCTCAAGAGGTCATTTAGTCATCCCTCTTCCCCATGTAGTACCAGTGGTACACCTTGTCATTGTTGACAACTGTGTCTCAACCTAAATAGACTTAAAAAACCCCCAACAAAACAAAACAGACAAAAACCTCAACAACAGCTACAACAAAACCACACAAAATTTAACTTGGATAATGGTTTAAAGTGTGTCCTGGTTTTTCTATGAACTGCAAGAAATTTGTCTTACAAAGTGATGCCAAGTTGGCAGTAGTTCTAATTTATTGAAACGTAGAATTATGTCACTTAACATATCTAGGTGAGGTTCAGAAGAAGCAAATTTGAACCCACTAAGCCCATATAGGAACTCTTCTTCAGTTACAGCTATTAGATCTTAAAGCAATGGGCAATGAACTTGTTTTGTCTTCTCAGAATTGTGACAGTAAGTCGATTTGATCGTTGACTTGCATGTTGTTGACTTGTGTGTATATTTAGAAATGGTTAATGTTTTTTAATCCATCTGCTGTGGTACCTTCAAAGAAACCTGAAGGACTATATCTTTACTTATAAAACCAGAAACAATGAAGAAATGTTTTCCTGTTTATTTGTAGACAGACAATAGATTGTGGAGGTCAATTATCCTCCACTCTCAATAGTCCTTATAGGATATGTCCTACAATTTTCTTTGTCTTTCCAGTTTTCTATAAGAGAAGAAGATTTGTGCTGTGTAAATGAAGTTAAAGGGGAGTGGTTTCGACATCCAAAGATCCTTAAGATACTACTTCCTTTCTCAAATAGTCTTTGTATCTGGAAAATTGCCATTCTCTTGGGTCTCAAATTTTTTTAACCTGTAGCTAAGAGTACAGATTCTTTATATTTGAGTGTTAGTTTCTTAATAATTTCTGAATGTAGCTGCACAGAGTTTTCAGCCATTGAAAGGAGCTGATGCAGCAGTAATGGCTAGAAGGTTCTCATGCAAACCAACTACTTACCTACAAAGGGGAGAGGGGTGAAGCAGATTTGCTGAGGAACTACTTCTCTCTGTTGGACCCTGGTTGCCCATGCAGAAGAACCTAGGAGAATAGCCCAGATGAGGAACTATTATATTCTGTCATTAAAAAATAAGGCATTGTTTAAGCAACTTGATGTCAAGCTCAAGTGGAGTGATGGAACTCAATCAGGCTCAAGGGGGAAGGGATTACAACCATATCGAATGAAGGCAACCCTGGGAAATGCTTAACAACACTGGGAGCAAAACCATTAGTCCAGCTGAAGTGGAACTATATCGGAGGCTTCAGGTACTTCACCAGGGGCCCAGCTCAAATGACTTTATGCGAGCACCTGCAGTGTGGACAATAAATAAGAGGAGCTGGAGATGCTCGTGTGCCTGCAGCGCTACAATCTATTCGGCATCACAGAGACATCGTGGAATGACTCCTACGACTGGTGTATTGGATTAGAAGGGTATAAGCTCTTCAGGAAGGACAGACAGCAGAAACGAGGAGGGTGTGTTTCACTCTATGTCGATGAACAGCTAGAATGCACGGAGCTACACCTGGCAAGAGATGATGAAAAGACCTAATGCCCGTGGGCCAGGGTGAAAGGAAGGGTAGGAGACATTACAGTGTGGGTCTGCTACAGACCACCTGACCGGGAGGACCAAGTGGATGACGCATAGACAGATACGAGTCACGGCTCGTTCACAAGCCCTGGTCCTCATGGGCGACTTGTCCCTCCAACTGATACTGGGGTGATTCGACACAGCAGGGCATAATAAATCCATGAGAATCCTGGAATGCACTGATGATAACCTCCTCCAAGTGACAGACAAACCAACAGGGAGAGTTGCCATGCTAGACCTTGTTCTCACCAACAAAGAAGGGTTGGTGGGCAGTGTTGAGCTCCATGAGAAGGTGGAGTTTAAGATCCTAAGGGCAGCAAAAAAAGGGATGTTCAGCAAGTTTGAAACCCTTGACTTCAGAAGAGCTGACTTTGGCCTCTTCAGGAACCTCCTTGGTAACACACCCTGGGACAAAGCCCTGGAGGGAATATTAACCCAGGAAAGCTGGTTGGCTTTCAAGTGTCATCTCCTCCAAGCTCAAAGGCACTACATCCCTAAAAGGGAGAAGTCTGGCAAAAACTCCAGGAGACTCATATGGATGAACAAGGAGCTCCTGGCCAAAATCAGACACAAAAGGGGATTCCACAAAGGGTGGAAGCAAGGACTGGTAACCTGGGATGATTACAAAGAGATTGCTCCTGAAATCAGAGACCAGGTGAGAAAAGCTGAAGCCCTGACAGAATCAAAGCTGGCCAGGGACATTGAAAATAACAGAAAAGGATTCTATGGGTATGTGAAAGAAAAAAAAGAAAAATCAGAGTATGTGGAGCCCCTCTGGAGTGATACAGGTGACCTGGTTACCAAGGATATGGAGAAGGCTGAGGTACTCAGTGACTCTCTTGCTTCACTTATAACCACTTGAGCCAGCCCACCCAGGTCACAGAGGGCATTGACTGGATCTGGGAGATTGAAGAATCACCAAGGGTAGGAGCAGATCAAGTCCAGGAACATACAGAAAACCTGAAGGTGCACAAGTCCGTGGGACATGATGAGATTACACCCACAGGTCCTGAAGGAATTGGAGGCTGAAGTTACTAGGCCACTAGCCGTCATATTCGAGAAGTCGTGGCAGTCTGGTGAAGGTCCCACAGACTTGAAAAAGAGAAACATAATCACCATTTTTAAAAAGGGAAGCAAAGAAAACCCAGGGAACTACAGATTGATCAGCCTCACCTCTGTGCCAGGCAAAACCATGGAGCAGCTCCTCCTGGTAACAGTACTAAGGCTCATGAAAAATAACAAGGTGATCGGTGACAGCCAACATGGTTTCACTGACTGTTTTGGTGGCCTATGACAAAGCTACACCGCTGGTTGACATGGGAAAAGCAACGGATGTCATTTTCCTTGCCCTGTGCAAGGCATTTGACACTGTCCCACATGACATCCTTGTCTCTAAAATGGAGAGACATAGTCTTGATGGATGGACCACTTGCTGGATAAGGAACTGGCTAGAAGCTTGCAGCCGAAGAGTTGTGGTCAACAGCTCGATGTCCACATGGAGACCAGTGACAAGTGGAGTTCCTCAGGCGTCTGTTCTGGGTCCAGTGCTGTTCAGTATCTGTGTCAGGGACATGGACAATGGCATCGAGTGCACCCTCAGCAGGTTTGCTGATGACACCAAACTGTGTGATGCGGTGGACTCACCTGAGGGAAGAGATGCC